CATCAGTTTGTAGAAGGTGCAATTTCCAGCATATTGTAAACACTAGTATTTTTTTAAGGAAAACTGTCACATCACTTATTAATTTATCCACTGAAATCTAAACACCATAGCAATCTGATACCCACCATCATCCATTTTAAAAATATACTAACAAGCTCTTCTTTAATAGTCATTGTTCTTTTTTCTCCATGAACTTTCATTTCTATTTTACTCTCCCTATGGAATTTTATCCTAGTGATATATTGTCATGCTTAAAACTTTTTCGTCTGCTACCCTATCATATTTCTCTGTAACAATTTTATATAAACTTTTTAATTTCCTGAAATCATAAAGCTCAAAGTATTAAATTTTTCTTCTGGTTTGAGTTACCATTTACAATTATTAATAGTAGCAATGGATCAAAGCGACCTAAATGTATCAGTAATTTAGATAAATAATTAATAAACATACAACCTTGTATTAAAAATACATCTCTTAATGACACAGTGGTTCTGGATGACTTTTCAAAATAACCATCTCTGTTGACTTACAACATACGTCCACCACCACTGGTTGCTGTCAAGTTGACTCCAATTCATGGCAGCCCCATGTGTGTCAGAGTGGAACTGTGCTCCATAGGGTTTTCAATGCCTATGACTTTGCAGTAGATTGCCAGGCCTTTCTTCTGAGGCACCTCTGGGTGAACTCAAGCCTCAACCTTTCGGTTAGCAGCCCAGTATGTTAACCATTTGCAACTACATACATACACACCCATATATAATCAGATCATAAACGTGCAGCTTGAGTTACCACAAAATGAGCATGCGCATGAAGTTACCGCCTTGATCCAGAAGGATTATTGCTGTGGTAGGTTATTTCTTCAATTTGTTTATCTGTGGAAGGATATTATCTATTGCTAGCATGAGACAAGGCTTAGCATCTATTGTATTTCCATTTTTTCATCCATATAGCTAAAAATTACACTGAGAACCCAGATTCACATGAACTAGCAAATAGGGCTACTAGTTTTATTAAAGCACAGTCACTCAACCCTTTGATCTTCTTCTGAGTTATATACTGAAAACCATATAATCAACTATCACCAAACCAAACTCACTGCCATCAAGTCGATGCCGACTCATAGTGACCCCCTCTGGGTTTCCAAGGTGGTAAATCTTTATGAAAGTAGATTGCCCAGTCTTCCTTCCTCAGAGTGGCTGGTAGGTTTGAACCGCCAGACTTCTGGTTAGCAGTCAGATGCCTTAGGCACTATGCCACCAGAGCTCCTTTACATCATCAACTAGCATTTAAAATTAAATTTTTATTATTTCTACTTGGCTTTTCTAGTAAAAATGAAGTAGAAACCACTTGTCTTGCAAAAAGATTTATTACTCAGTTGTTGCTCTCTTTCTCATCTGTCTGTCTTCTTGCTTGGTGACCAGGAGTTTCTTCTCCCTGGGACAGCGAGCAGGGTTGAGGTTTGAGATGGGATGGGTTAGAGGTTTGCTTTTTGTATAAAAGAGAGGAAAGACTATGAGAGAGCAGGTGGAAAGGACAGACGGCACCTCCATCACTGTTCAGTTTTTGAGTTTCTATGGGAGGTGAGGATCTGGACATTGATTCTCATAAAACTTTGGATCCACATGTCATTTTTGGAAAGTCCTGTGCATTCCCCAGTTTGAAGCCTGTATGGACTCAAGCAGGAACTAGACCAGTCTCTCCAAATTTCCTAGTTCATGGTTCTAAAAGAGTTCCTTATGGCAGAGACCATGGAGGCAATTAGCCACACATTCTGTGTCCTCCTCCTATTCCGGCTCTCCTTCCTCTGTGGCTCCAGGTGAAGAGAAATCAATTTTTGTGCCTTGGATGATGGCTGGCAAGCTTTTAAGACCCCTGGCACTGTGCAGCAAACTAGGAAATAGAACAGAAGCACTAAACATGTTACTAGGCCAATTAACAGAGCTGTCCTGGGAAACCGTGACCCTAAACCTCCAAACCAAGAAACCAAATCCCATGAAGTTTTTGGTTGTACATAAGCAGCCTCAGCAGCTACTTTCTTTTCTTTTTTTTTTTTTTTTTCATTATAATATAGCTATCACACAACTTTTGCCAATTCAACTATTTAGAGGTTTATAACATATTGACAGCAATTACAATAATTGGCTGTGCAACCCTACCCTTAATCAGTGCTGTATTTTCATCACCATTAACCACCCCCATTCCCCCTCCCTCCTGCACCTGGTAACCACTAATAACCTTTATTCTCTATATATTTGCCTTTTCTTGTCCTTCATATAAGTGAGGTCGTACAACATTTGTCCTTTTGTGATTGACTTATTTCACTCAGCTTTATACCTTCCAGCTCCATCCATATTGTAGCATGAATCAAGACTTCTTTTCTCCTCCTGGCTGAGTAGTATTCCATTCTTTGTTTATCCACTCATCTGTGATGGGCGTTTAGGTTGTTCCTACGTTTTGGCTCTTTATTGTGAATAGTACTGAAATGAACATTGGTAAACAAGTCTCTGTTTAAGTGTCCGCTTTCAAGTTTTTTGGACCTAGGACTGAAATTTTTAGGTCATATGGATTTGGTTTGGTTTTTTATGGTAGTTCTGGGTTTAGTTTTTTGAGGAATCACACACTGTTTTCCACAGCAACTTAAGGGTTTCAGTTTCCCAAAATCCTCACCAACATTCATTATTTTCTGTTCCTTTCGTTTGTTTTATCTTAGCTATTCTAGTAGGAATTAAATGGGGTCTCATTGTGGTTTTGATTTGCATCTCTCTGATGACTTATGACACTGAGCATCCTTCATGTGTTTGGTGGCCATTTGAACCTCATCTTTGGTGAAATGCGTGGTGAAAGGTTTGGCTAATTGCCTCCATGAACAGCTGGCTTCTTTGCCATGATAGCAGAAGAACTGGATGGTGGCCGGCTGCCATTACTGAACATTTTGATCAAAGATTCCATAGAAGGATACTGATCAAAGAGGGAGAATATAGAACAGAATTTCAAATTCTCAGGGACTCCAGACTTCCTGGAGCCATGAACTTCCTGGATGAACCCCTGAAACTATTGCCCTGAGAAAATCTTTAAAACTTAAACCCCTGAAGTCTTCTTAAAACCAAACAATAGTTTAAAAAAACAAAAAACAAAACTCATTGCCGTTGAGTTGATTCAACTCATAGTGACCTATCATTGGGTTTCTGAGGTGGTATATCACTACGGAAGTAGATTGCCCAACCTTCCTTCCAAGGAGTGGCTGGTGGGTTTGAACTACCAGCTTTCTGGTTAGTAGTCAAATGCCTTAGGCACTACACTACCAGAATTTACCAAAGAAACCAAACCCAATGTCAAGGAGTCATATCCGACTCATAGCGACCCCCTCCGTGGGTTTCCGAGGCGGTATCACTATGGAAGTAGATTGCCCAACCTTCCTTCTGAGGAGTGGCTGGTGGGTTTGAACCTCCAGGCTTCTGGTTAGCAGTCAAGTGCATTAGGCACTAGGCCACCAGTTTAGCTTAACTAATATTAAATGTCTACCTTAAGTGTGGTGCCTAAGTTCTTTTAAGAACTATCTATATGGGATCAAGACGATAACAACTATTTGAAAGATTAGATAGGAACCTTAGGCAGCAGTGAGTTTATGTTAGTGGGGGAGGAACAACTCAGAAATGGAGGATGAAAGTGGTTGCACAACTCAAGAATGTAGTCAATGTCACTGAATTGTATCTGTAGAAACAGTTGAATTTTGGTGTATGTTTTGCTGTGGGTATTCTCAACAACAAAATAATTAAAAAAAAAAAAAAGGCATTGTATAAGTGCAGCCTATTTGTGTGTGAGAGAGAGACTGTGTCACAGGCTTCTGGCTAGATGGTTACCCCCTGTGTGTAGCTATTTCCCTGAGCAGGGACAGTGAGAGAGACAGGTGACTATGTTGACCTTGCATTCAAGTTAACATGTGCAGTACTGATCCTTGAAACTCTCTCCTATTATGTCCTTGTGCTGCAAATAAGTCGTCTGATTTCTGAATTCCCATAGCTCTTATTTTTACCACTTCATTACGTGTATCTCTTTTCCCTTGTATTATAATTACTTAATCATGTATCCTATCACCTTTTCTGACTGTAAGCTCCCAAAGAGCAGGCTCCATGTCTGATCACTTCCTCGCATTGGTACAGTACACTTAGTAGGTATACAATAAATATTTGTTGAACAGGTAATTGATTGATAGATGTCTTAAATTTCTTCCTATCCCCCACAGTCCCTAGAATAGTGTTGGACTTTCAATAGCAGGGTCTCAGAAGAATTAATCAATGAGCAAAACAATGAAATTAATAAATCAATGAGCTAATGAGCCACTAAACAGTGGCTTGAAAGCGAGTTTACATTCACATGAGGGTCAAGATATGTAAAAAGTGGGAAGTCTGTGAAACTGAGTATTTCTATTCCAGTCTTTCGCTTTGTATTTACTTTTGTAACTGGAGTAGTAAAAAAAAAAAAAAAAAGTTGCCTTCAAGTCAGCTTCAACTCATGGTGACCCCGTGTGTGTGTGACTGATGCTCCATAGAGTTTTCAATGGCTGATTTTTCCAAAGTAGATCACTAGGGTGTAGGCTTGAACCACCAGTCTTTTTGGTTAGCAGCTGAGCACTTAACCATCTGTGCCACCCAGAGACTCCTATAACTGGACCTGGGAGGTATAATTGCTTGTTGGAAAATCCACATAAACCCTTTCCCGTCCTTTGATTCTTGTCTTGCAGGTGTGAGCAGCATCTCCTCACCAAGGTGGTGTTTGGTCCGTACCTCAGCCCGGGTGAGGATGTAAAACCCCCCGCTCTGCACATGAGTGGTGCAGGCCAGCAGGGACACCTGGCTTCAGCCACCGTCACAGACATGTCAGCCGTGGAGTAGTGTGGATACCTTCTCTCAGCTTCTCAGGGTTTCAGTCCTTTTTGGCTTTTTTCATTTAACTTTTTTTTATGGTTTTGTGGCTGGACATTCACGACCAAGGCAGGCACCATGGGAGATCAGCAGCTATACAAGACCAACCATGTGGCCCACAGCAGTGAGAATCTCTTCTACCAACAGCCCCCACTTGGCATCCATGGCAGCCTGAACCACAACTATGGGAATACAGTCACAGGGGGTGGGATGGATGCCCCTCAGGCTTCACCCATCTCTCCCCACTTCCCTCAAGATACTCGGGATGGCCTGGGCTTACCTGTTGGTTCCAAAAACCTTGGCCCAGTGGATACCTCAAGGCAAGGAGGGTGGGGAGGCCATTCTGGCCCTGGAAACCATGTCCAGCTACGTGGCAACCTGGCCAACTCCAATATGATGTGGGGGGCACCAGCCCAGGCTGAGCCCACTGATGGCTACCAGTACACCTACTCCCAGGCCAGTGAGATTCGGACCCAGAAGCTCACTAGTGGTGTCCTGCACAAGCTGGACTCTTTCACCCAGGTGTTTGCCAACCAAAACTTGCGCATTCAGGTCAACAATATGGCCCAGGTGCTGCATGCCCAGTCAGCAGTGATGGATGGGACCCCCGACAGTGCCCTCCGCCAACTGCTCTCTCAGAAGCCGATGGAGCCCCCGGCACCAGCTATTCCTCCCCGCTACCAGCAGGTGCCCCAGCAGCCTCACCCTGGTTTCAGTGGCGGACTGTCCAAACCAACTCTTCAGGTTGGACAGCACCCTACCCAAGGGCATCTTTATTATGACTACCAGCAACCACTGGCTCAGATACCAGTGCAGGGGGGACAGCCACTGCAGGCCCCTCAGATGCTATCACAGCACATGCAGCAGATGCAGCAGCACCAGTATTACCCACAGCAGCAGCAGCAGCAAGCTGGGCAACAGCGCATCTCCATGCAAGAAATGCAACAGCAGCAGCAACAACAGATTCGTCCATCACAGCCTCAGCAGCCACAGCAGCCGCAACAGCTACAGCTGCAGCAGCGACAGGGTGCAATGCACATACCTCAGTGTTATCAGCCCCAACCCATGATGCAGCACTTGCAAGAGCAGCAGCAGCAGCAACAGATGCACCTGCAGCCCTCTTCTTATCACAGGGACCCCCACCAGTATACCCCAGAGCAGGCACACGCTGTCCAGCTGATCCAGCTGGGCTCCATGCCCCAGTACTACTACCAGGAGCCCCAGCAGCCCTACAGCCACCCCCTCTACCAGCAGAGCCACCTGCCTCAGCACCAGCAGCGTGAGGACAGTCAGCCGAAGACTTATCCCAGTGACAGGCAGGCCCAGTCCCTGCTGAGCTCCCACGGGGACCTGGGGCCTCCTGATACAGGAATGGGGGACCCAACCAGCTCGGATCTGAACCGGGTCAGCAGTACCCTTCCCCATCGGCCACTCCTGTCCCCCAGTGGGATCCACCTCAACAACATGGGGCCTCAGCACCAGCAGCTATCCCCCAGTGCCATGTGGCCTCAGGTATTCTCACCGTGGGAGTTTTTCCTGGTATCTCAGTGTGCGGTAGGGCCACCTGGGCTTGAGTATATGTAGTGCTGAATCCTCTCTCCAACCCCTTGGTTCTTTATGCATTCTGTAAACATTAACCTACACATGCCAGGTGCTGTCTGTGTTAGGCACTTGGAATACAAAACCAATTACGACTCAGTCCTTTGCCTGCAGAGTTTATAATCTCACTTAAGGAAGTGGTCCAAATAACGGGAGCTTCCCCTGAATGCTTCATGGAATGAATGATCAAGGCCTTGAGTCAAGTGCTTGGGGACACGGAGTAAAGGTGTCTCTCCCCCTGGGATCTAGACTCTCGGAGGATTCCCTATGAAAACGTTCCCCCTTGGGAGGAAGGTTACACTTTGGTAGCATTTCTCTAAGTGCACTGCTCAGGACAAAAGTTCCATAGAATGTTTAATGAATATTGTTGTGGGGTAGGAGGGATATGGATTCTGTGGATAAATTAATTCAAGGTTACCTAAAGAGAACTAGGTTGCTTTGCTGCAGAGTTTCTCAGGACCTTTAATATGCTAATGTGCATTGTAAATCTCCAAAAGGAGCTATCACATATGATTGCAGAAAGCTTTAGCTGCCCACAGGATCCAGGAGATCAAGTGAATGGCAAAATGGCCTGGGGTGAGATAATAGGGAGCGGCAGCAACTGCGGTGTATTGGAGAGCAGACGCCCCAGTTAGTGGTATTCTCAGTCAGCGTTTTTAAAAACAGCCTAGCCAAACAAAATAGGGCCATATTCAGCCTGTAGGCCACCAAATATATGTGACCACAAAACAGCCTTCCGTGTGTCAGGGACTGTTCATGCTTTAGCATCTTCCAAGTCCTGCACACTCACGTGACAGCAGGGTGCAGGGAGGAGGGAATCATGAACAGGATCTGATTAGGTTGAGAGAGGGCTCAGATGGAGGTGGAAGGCCAGAGATAAACTTCTCCTTGACCCTGCATTGTCTGGTGCTCAGGCCTGATGGTAACTGAGAGCCTTTGTGAGCCATAAGCATAAGATGACCAAGATTAGAAAGGAGATCTCCTGGCATGGTGTGGTGTCATCCAACTCTCTTTTCTGTGTCCTTTGTGGGAATGGAACCTGTCTCTGTGAAGAATGGGTGGACTGGGAAAATGGGAAGGAGCGAGCAGGGTATTGAGTCCTAGTGGGCTTGTGGCTGACAGCATCTCTAGAAGTGGGGCTCTTGTCCTTTGAGTTAGGGAGAAAATAAGGCAAAGAAGTCCCAGGGTGTAGAAGAGTAAGGGAATGAGTGGGCATGAGTGGGGTTGGTGCAGAGTGGGGATAGTCCTGGGGGTGCAGGCAATAGTGTTCCCCCAACTCAAAGATATTTCCCTCCAGAATTATGTATTTCAGAAATGTATTTGTTTGTTCTTTTTCTCCGTGTCCTGCTTGACTCAAAATTAGATGCATCTCCCTGATGGCAGAGCCCAGCCAGAGTCCCCTGAGTCAAGGTAGGATTGATCAGTAGAGGCTTGTTGGTATTTTAGGAGGCGGGGTGGTCTTTCTGGGTTCGCTCTCACAATTCACTTCTAAATTCAAGGTCAGTTCCTCAAAGAAGGTCATGTTGTTGTTGTTATATGCCGTTGAGTCGGCCCCCGACTCATAGCAACCCCTCCTTGGGTTGCTGAGGCAGTATCACTACGGAAGTAGATTGCCCAACCTTCCTTCCAAGGAGTGGCTGGTGGGTTTGAACTGCCAGCCTTCTGGTTAGCAGTCAAGTGCCTTAGGCACTATGCTACCAGAGCTCCTGCAAAGAAGGTCATAGGAATGATAATAACAGCTACTACGTTTGAGCTCTAACTATGTACGAGGCACTATATATTATGTGTAGTACAGTAACCCAGTGAGGGTGGGTATGATTACCATATGCTGGTACATAGTAAGCATTCAGTAACTATTAGCTGTTATTATTTTACAGATGAGAAAAACTGAGGCTCAGAGAGCTTAAGGTTACATATCAAGTAAGTAGCAATGCTGGCATTAACTCTGAAGTCCATGTTCTGCCCATTGCCCATTCAGTCAGTCAGTGAGTGTTTATTGAGTGCCTGTTGTGTGCCACATGTAGAGCTAAGCTTTGCACATGTGGCAGTGAATTATACAGACTTGTTTTCTCCCCTCATGGGCATGTGAAATAATTACAGAACCTGATAAAACCGTGCATAGTATGGAGGCTGAACACCAGAGGACCTAGACAAGGGTTTCTGAAGGAGGACTTCTAGAGGAGGTGGCCCAAGAAGGGTCAAAAGTGAGAACAGCCAAGTGCCTAAAGGTCTGCAGTGAAGGAGGATGATTTGTTCAACTTTTAACAGGACTTTAGGCAAACACTTGCCCACTCCGAGCCTCAGTTTTCATCTTGTAAATTGAGTTTATTTCTCTGGTGGGTGTTGGAGGGATGCAAGTGGGACCATGGGCATGGGAACATTAGACAAATAGAATGTGTTAGTTGTAGGGTGTGAGGTCTTACCAATAAATTGTCCTTTTCCCTTCCTTAACATGGCGTTTCCTCTCCCCTTGGCCTACCATTGAGCAGTGGCCAAGCCAAAGGAGTGTTTGGGGACCAGTTTGATGCCAAGAACAAGCTAACATGCTCCATCTGCCTGAAGGAGTTCAAAAGCCTGCCTGCCCTAAATGGCCACATGCGGTCCCATGGGGGAATGAGGGCCTCCCCCAGCCTCAAACAGGTTAGTAGGGACCACCACCCAGTCCTTCCAAGGCTATATGCTGCTTGCTTTGCTTTGCTGCCGTCCAGATAAAGAGTGATGTAAGCCCCATGATGGGAACGCCTAACGCTTTGACCCTGAGAGCCAGCCAAGCCCAACACTTCCCACTTCCACTGATTTTCAGAACAGTGGTCCAACACAGATCCCTTTGAGGGATCCCAGCCTTCCCCTCTCTACCGCCTGGGAGAACAAAGCAAACAAAAACATGTAGATGCAATATTATTTTTAACTTATACTGCTTGATGCACTCAGGGCCAGAGTCACTTGGGTCTTCTAGAAGAGTGATCATTGTGCAGGGAAAGCTAATCTCACCAAAACTTTCTGTTCACCTCTGCACTTGGGTTGGACTCAAGCATCCAAAGTTCTTAAATCCCCTCTGGATTACCCCAGAAAGATGAACTAGTAGTATACCACGTCCATGCAGATTTAGAATTAGATTACGATTCAAAGAATTTTCTCAGAATTCTTTGAATATTGTTGATCTTAATTTAAATCTATGAGATTAACTGTTAGCCTTTGATTACTGACATCACACTATCTCTTGACCTTACCAGATAAGAGAGCTTTGTCTTCACTTTTTAAAATTAACATGCTTTGTATTTGCAAAGTGGTTTCCTAACCTGAATAAAATACAGATGGAATGCCAACCTCCATTTGACAGATGAGTAAACTGAGGTCCCTAGAATGTAAAGGTTCTAGATGTGGAGTCCTTGGGTGGAACAAGCAGATACTGCACCAGACTGCTAACCAAAAGGTTAGAGGTTTGAGTCCATCCAGAGGCACCTCGGAAGACAGGCCTGGTGATCTCCTAAAAGTTCAGCCATTGAAAATCCTGTGGAGCACAGTTCAACTCTGACACACATGGGGTCGCCCATGAGTTGGAGTCCACTCAACGACAACTGGTTTTTTGTTTACACAAGCTCAGACATTTTGAGGGGCCTGGTTACAAGTCTATGTCCTTTTTTAAAGGAAGCAACAGCAACCAGAACGTCTTTTTAATATGCAAGTAGTAAGTACGTGGTCAAGGTTTTCCAAATGAAGGAAGTAGAATCCATGTCCTTGTCCACCACTATCTGGCATCACTTGGCCTGAGGGACTCAGGGTTGCAGGAAGGAAACCACCCTGCAGGGGTTTTCTATCACCCACCCCTGATGTCCTGGAACCTTTCAGTAACAGCAAAGTTAGTTTCCCCTTGTGAGAGCTGCTCTGCAGCCCGGGATCAAAGCCTTTATTGTCTGTGTAGGAGGAAGGAGAGAAGGCCACACCACCTCAGCCTCAGCCTCAGCCTCAGCCTCAGCCCCAGCCTCCACTGCCGCCTCCGCCTCCGCCTCCGCCTCCGCCTCCACCACCACCGCAGCTCCCTCCCGAGGCAGATAGCCTCACGCCTGTGGTCATGCCTGTGTCTGTCCCTGTCAAGCTTCTCCCGCCCAAGCCCAGCTCACAGGGGTTCGCCAACAGCGTCGCTGCTGCCCCCTCGACCAGAGACAAGCCAGCCAGCTCGGTGTCGGACGACGAGATGCCCGTGCTCGTGAGGATGACCCTCTCTCCCCCACACTCACCCCAAGGGGCTGCCCCCCGCACGCCTGCTGTGAGTTGCTGCTCCACCCCGCCTGCCTGGGGTGGGAAGATCCCTTTGCTTTCCTGAAGATGGGGTCAGCTCTTCTAGAGCCACTGACTTGAGCTGGGACATGGCTTGGCCTCTTGGAGCTGAGCCCCCCCATGACAGCCTTGAGAGTTGTCCCAGCCTCATCCATGCTTCCCATTGAATACCAATTATTCTACTAGGCTAACTATCTGGATTAAATTCTGAGACCAAACTGTGTTCCTGGGCTCAAACAGATAATTCAGCTGGTACTTACTGATACCATCATACCAGGTATTAAAATATCGAAGTACTTCTGTCCTAGATCATAAATAGCTGTTACCCAGGGCCTTGCCCCTCCCCCAGGATCTCCAGCCCTCCCCAAATCCAGCAACCAAAGAAGTACCCCTGGCACAGCAGGACCTCCAGGCAGTAGGCTTGCATCCATTCTAGGATGGTCAGCCTTATCACATACTTGATACTTCAACTATCATACCTGGTTATATACTCTTTGGAGGATTTAATTCATTAAGAGTCCCAAAGTAATTCTACTGAGTGACATTCACCCCCCCAATCTCAGGAAAGCAAAGAGATTGTTTCTCACTCACTGTTAAGTTCTCCTCTTTCTCAAATTCCAAGTGCATCAGCCAAGCAGCTTAGCTTGGCTCTCAGGCAGAGAGGAGTGCTTGTCTCTGTCTCTCTGACCCTGTCTCTCTGATTCTGTCTCTCTTGGAACATGGGGTTACATCTCTAGCCCCTGGGAATTTGTGTCCCACGTGATTGGCTACATGAGACCTTTCTCCTCCCCACAAAGTGGTGTGCTGGGCCATACTTGACCTTAGAGAGTGAATGGCTGCTGGGATTCCAGAAGGCATGAGGTTTGGGTTGGGCCAATTCATAGAACAAAAAGTCCAGGAAGAGCGTTTTTGGTTCTCTATGTAGTGCCTAAGGCATTTTGACTGCTAACCAGATGGCTGCCAGTTCAAACCCACTAGCCACTCCTCGGCAGGAAGGTTAGGCAATCTACTTCCGTAGTGATGCCGCCTCAGAAACCCAAAGAGGGCTCACTATGAGTTGGGTCCGACTCGCCGGCACATGACAACAACAACAACATGTAATATCAAAAGCAGCTCTGGTGGTGCAGTGCCCAAGGTGTTTGACTGCTAACCTGAAGGTTGGTGGTTCAAACCCACCAGCCACTCCACAGAGGGAACACTGGGCAATCTACTTCTATAAAGATTTACTGCCTTGGAAACCCAATGGGGGTCGCTATGAGTCAGAGTCAACTCCATGGCAGTGGGTTTGGTTTTTTGGTTTTTGTAATATCAAGGCCTCAGAAGAGGAGAAACTGATGGAGAATCTCTGGGTGTGCAGAGGTTTGTAAGCTGGCAGGAGTTGGGGTGCTGCAGTAGGCAGAGAGATGAAATGACATCCCTAAGCTCCCTCTTTGCCCAGAGAACCATTTGGTGGGAGAGACATAGTTCTGTGTTTGGAGAACTCACAGTCTGAAGTTGGACACACAGGAAGGTTCCCAGTCACACAGAGGGTCAGAGTCACAGGCAGCATCCCCTACACCCACATTCAAGACAATGAGAGAAAGACAGAGGAAGATGAGGAACAGTGATGCCCTGATTGCAGCCAATGGGACTACACCTGGGTGGGTAAAATAATTAGGGAGAGGAGAACCAGAATGGAAATTTGGTAGGCATTTGCCCAGGAGATCGTCATTAGGGAGTTCTGAGCGAGGAGTTGAAGACAAAGACAAAATTGGTTTTGTGAACACAGTGGGAGAGACATCTTATGTGGAGAGGAGGACTGAGTGGAAGCATGTGGGTAGGATTGAGCACATGTGAGCAAGATGCTCTCACTTCAGGTAAAGAATAAACAGCCCAGGGAGGAGCCCTGAGTTCTAATCCCAGCTCTGCTCCCAGCCAGCTGGAAAGGTGGCAGAGCATGATTTCCTCCTCTGGCCTTGAGGGGGTTGGGCTCATCAGGGTTGCTCACCCCTCGCTGTGCTTCACAATCACCTGGGCAGCTTTTAAAAGCCCTCGGAGCTTGGCCCCACCCCCAGAGATTCCGAATAGCCTGGTCGGATGCAACACTGTAACTGCTTCCTCTCAGGTAACATTCTGGGTTTCTTCTCTGGCCGCGGGAGCTCAGAGCCTTGCCTGGAGGATCACAGACTCCAGGCTTGGAGCTGAAATAACAGGAAAGGAGGCTGGAGGAGAGGGAGCCCAAAAGGGACCTTTGTCCCTGTGATCAGAGGTCTGGATTTCAGTGCAGGGTTGAGGTCACACGAGGTCTGTATGTGCTTGAATTACCTCATCAGTGACTGAGGAATAGTTCCCGGGCTGGGGGGAAGGGGCGGTGCGGGAAATGGACCCGCACACAGGCACCAAGTGCATATTTGCTTCAGCTCCCTTTCTCCTCAGCTCCCTTTCTCCTCAGCCCCCTTTCTCCTCAGCCATAGACGGTGAGCCCTCTGGTGGAGAGAGGAGGCAGGTTGGTGAGCTCCGGCCTAAGGAGAGCCCCCTAGGGGTGAGGTAGGGCTTACGAACCTCCACACTGCAGCTAGGAACTTGGGAGCCTTTGCCCTCTCCTTTTTCCCCACCTCTCAGCTTCTCTGGGGTTGGGAGGGTGCTTTGAAAGAAAGTGATGTTGAGAGAGACACAGGAGTAGGGCAGATTGTAAAATGCTGAAGGCAGAATGTGCCTCAGGTAGAGACTCTCACAGCTGAGGGGCAGACTGGGGCAGGTCACATGACCATAGCCTACCCTTCCCATCACCCCCTGCTGCCACCTACTTAAGCACCACCCTGGGCTCAGGAATTGCCAGGAACCGCAGCCGTGACTGGCTTACAGCGCCTGTGAGGGCACCTCAGACTACCCAGAACCTTTCCTCAGGTATCCCAGCTGCCTCCCAACCACACCCAGCTCTGGAATTTTCTGTGATGATGCTGGCACCCGACCAAGTCTGTTTCTGTTTGGCTTTGGCATGCCCTGCTCTATTTGTGTATATGTTTACTTATTAATCTATATGTATCCATGTGGCAGATCTTCCTTCCAGACTGCGCTTGGTTCCGGCTGCCAAAGAATGAACTAACACTGCTGACAGGAAGCCAGCCTAGGAGAAGGGCTTGGTACAAATGAGATTGAGCCACCAGCGTAGGGAGCAGTAGGAAGGGGTTGTGAGGGGGGAGGTTAACGAGATTAACTCTGAGGAGAGCCCATTAGAGGGGCCTTAAACATCATAGTTGGCTCTCCCTCCCCCAGCCTGAAAGTTGCCTAGGAGAACCCCATGTAGGTCACTGGCCCTCCGAGCCTTGGCTGGGCCAGAGGCCCTTCATGCTTAGCAGCCTTTGCCCCAGCTTCCCTCAGTAGATTACTCTGCCTTCTTCTCAGAACATGTGTAGTGGGTCCCTGGGGAGCACTGGGGAATTAAAGAGCCCACTCAGCTGGATTGCACTCAACAGTTGGGAATGTAGTGATAAGTAATGAAAAGTTTGAATTTATCACTTCTTGCCCACCCACCATCCCTAACACCCCCATCTGTCTCCAGACATTAGCATTTACTCCAAAACCAAAGTCTTCTCTACAGTCAAGGCACAAGAACTTTCTTGGCCTGGAATGGGTATGGCTTCTCTTGAAGGCAGACAATGCTGGGTAAGGGTTGGAGGGAGCAAGGGAAGAGGTTCGCCATTAGAACCGTAGAAGTTTTCCTTCCCTGAGCCTGTGGAAATGGCCAGTTGGAAGGCCAAAGTATTTGAATCAGACCATTCTTACCGTTTTAGGAAATTCCCAGGAAGCATCAGCCGTGCGTGACCAAAGCTGAGGAACCCCTCAAACCTGTGCAGGAGAAGAAAAAATTCCGACACCGGCCAGAACCGCTCTTCATCCCACCTCCGCCGTCCTACAACCTGAACTCCGCTTCCTCCTACTCGGGTGCCACCCTGTACCAGAGCCAGCTGCGCTCCCCACGCATCCTCGGGGACCACCTGCTTTTGGACCCTGCCCACGAGTTGCCACCCTACACACCCCCACCCATGCTGAGCCCAGTCCGCCAGGGCTCAGGGCTCTTCAGCAATGTTCTCATCTCCGGCCATGGCCCTGGTGTCCACCCACAGCTGCCCCTCACACCCCTGACACCCACACCACGCGTGCTGCTTTGTCGCTCCAGTGAGTCGCCCCTTTAGCCTCTTCATTCATGGTCCTGAGGATTTTGTCCCTGTCTGTAGTAGCTACTAAAGGGGCTCTGGTGGCTCAGTGCCTAAGGCATTTGACTGCTAACCAGAAGGCTGGCAGTTCAAACCCACTAGCTGTTCCAGGGAAGGAAGATGGGACAATCTACTTCGGTAAAGATTTACTACCTTGGAAATCCAGTGGGAGTCACTATGAGTCAGAATTTACTCAATGGCAGTGGATTTGTTTTTTTTTTTGTACTGGCTGCTACATTGGGAGGTCTCACTTTTTCTTAAGTGGTCTCCTTATTCCACAGACTTTTATGGAGTATCTGTTACATATACTGGGCACTGTGTTAGGTGCTGAAAATATTTAGAATGAGATGTAGTTCTTATCTTCTAGGGGCTTACAGTCTGGCTGGGGAGACAAATACTAAAGTGGTAATTTATCATCTCTTTGGGATAAGGAAACAGTTGAAATTTGCACACACTCTGTGTCTTAAGACTGTCATGGATGATTGTGTAAGTGGCCCAGAATAAATATAAGTACGATACACGTAGCACACCTAGGATTAGGTGTTATATGCAAGATCAAGCTTTGACATTTTAGCATGATATGTAAAGATCAAATGTGGAAAGATCTATAGCCAGGATATCTTTCTAGAGCAAGAATAGTTTCATAGAAACAATACAGCTTAGCAGACTAGAGTGGGGCAGCTGGCTTCTTTATGCTGTGTGAAAAATGGGGTAACCCTCTGCCATTTAGCACCACATTCCATCTAGCTCCCTGGAGATTTGTTGGGGGTAACTTGGGTGTGGGTTGGGGAGGGGAGGGGCTTGCTTATGACTGATTAAGTAACCACTCATTTGCTTTAGTTTCTTCATCATTGAATAATTGATCTTTGTATCTACCTGCCCCATCCATGTTGACCAGTGACCTTTGGTTTATGTTTCAGATAGCATCGATGGCAGCATCGTGACAGTCACCCCAGGCCCTGGGGAGCAGACCGTGGATGTTGAACCGTAAGGAAAAGCCAGTTGTTCTGTAGAACAGAAGCCTCAGCTGAGGAAATGGATTGAGAAGTATAGTTAGTACTTCTGGGGTCAGAGTAGTCACTGAGAGAGAAGTTGAAATTGTAACCAGTAACCAGTTGCCGTCAACGATTCTGACTCATGGCATCCATGTTGTGTATCAAAGCAGAACTGTGCTCCATAGGGTCACAGTATTTCTTGAGTACTATTGTTTCAGGGTATTTGCCAAAGCATCATAAAAGCCTGAATCTTTGTATTTAGAGAACCAGGATCCCCATCTCTAACTCCATGGGTCAGTCTACCTGTGGCCTCTCATTCTTACACACCCAGTGACACTGAGCCATCTCTCTTGAGGTGCCAGCTCTCTAAGAGGCTCCTTCCTGTCCCCAGCCCCTCCCTAAGATTCTTGGCTTTAGTTTCTCCAAATGGGCTTGGGTGGGCAGTAGGGAAAATCATGGAAGGAGAAATGTGACTTTCGTGAACAGACCATGTAGTAGAGTGGAGAGAGAGATTGCTCAGGAATCAGAAAACCTGAGTTTAGTCCCAGCTCCGACACCCTTTTGTTTTGTAATCTTGATCATAAACCTTCCTAGGTTTTAGTTGACTAATATATTAAATAGGAGCTCTGGTAGCGTAGTGCCTAAGGCACTTGACTGCTAACCAGAAGTCTGGCGGTTCAAACCCACCAGCCACTTCTCGGAAGGAGGATGGGGCAATCTACTTCCATAGTGATACTGCCTCGGAAACCCAAAGAGGGGTTGCTGTGAGTTGGGTCCAACTCGATGACACATAACAACAACAGTATATTAAATGGGAATATTTATAGTTGCCTTAGTTACATCACAGGCCTTTGTGAGGTTCACATGGGATAATGTCTGTGAAAGTGGTCTGAAAGGGATAAGAAATGCAATAAACACTGTGTGTTTGTCCCACTTTTCCTAGTTAAATAGGGCCATCTGGGCACCTGTCCCCTTGGAATTAGCCACCTTCTCTCTCTGTTACAGGGAACAGTGAACCCCTAGGCAGACTGTCCCCTTCTTCCCCTCAGCATCTCTCCTCAGTTTTGAAACTATTCCTTATTCCAGTGAGAAGGTCATGCCTGGAATCTTAGGGTCACACTATGAGGAAATGCCCCTGCATTCTTAACTGCAGAAGGGACTGCTTCCTCCTTCCCCAAGTTGCTGACAGTTGCCCTTGGCCTCGGCCATCAAATTGAAGACCACACTGTTGTTTTACTTCTTGTCATTAAAGACGCATCAACATTGGCTTAAGATTCCAAGCAGAGATCCCAGAACTCCAGGATGCCTCTGCCCTGGCCCAGGACACACATAAAGCCACGCTGGTATGGAAGCCCTGGCCAGAGCTGGAAAACCACGACCTCCAGCAAAGAGGTATTGGCCACGGGAGTAGCTGGGTGGGAGAGGCTTGTTTCTCTCACTGGGATGCCTCGCTCCCATACTGGTGTGTCCCGTAGAAACTTGCTTTTCCATGATATCGAGCTCTTTCTGATGCAATGGCTTCTCTTTGTCCCCAACAGTGGATAATCTCCTGAACTTATGCTGTTCAAGCGCATTGCCAGGTGGAGGGACCAATTCTGAATTTGCTTTGCACTCTCTCTTTGAGGCCAAAGGTGATGTGATGGTAAGGATTCATGAGAAGCAGGCTCCCAGTTCATACTCACCGTGGCAGACCAAAACCAAACCAAACTCACTGCTGTCAGGTCAATTCTGACTCATAGTGACTGTTCTTGAGTTTCCGTGGCAGTATCTCTATAGAAGTAGATTGCCCAGTCTTCCTTCCGAGGAGTGACTGGTGGGTTTGAACTGCCATCTTCCTGAGTTTTTATATTGTTCCCTGTACCATGTAAAGGAGCTCTGGTAGCATAGCGGCTAAAGCACTTGACTGCTAACTAGAAGGCTGGCGGTTCAAACCCACCAGCCACTCCTCGGAAGAAAGGTTGGGCAATCCTACTTCCGTAGTGATATTGCCTCGGAAACCCAAGGAGGGGTCGCTATGAGTCGGGGCCGACTCGACGGCACATAACAACAACAATACCATGTAACCAACTCGTAAGATGACCTTGCCTCCATGTCATCTGTCCTTATCTTAACAAGTAGATACAAATTTAAATTCCTGTAGAAAAGTCTCCAATTGGACTTCTGTTGATATATGTTTTCCCAAAGCTATTATTGTGGGTATCTCTGCCTTGGGAGATTTGAATGATTTCTTTTTAGAATCTTGTACTTTACATAAGAGAACTAGGGATGGAGAAGGCCTTACTGAAACAAGAGTGGGCCCAAATTGTCTATTGTATGTCTGCTGGCTGTTTTTCCCTCCCATGGAAACCACCATAGGAGCTCTGGTGGTGTAGTGCCTAAAACATTTGACTGCTAACCAGAAGTCTGGCGGTTTGAACCCACCGGCCACTCTTTGGAAGGAGGATTGGACGATCTACTTCCATAAAAATACCGCCTTGGAAATCCAAGGAAGGGTCGCTATGAGTCGGGACCAACTTGACGGCAGTGAGTTTGTTTTTCTTTTTGGTATGGAAACCACCAGAATTTGACGTTCATAGAACTATTTTCTTCCCTAACCCAAATGAGGTGTTTACTGTACACCAACTAGTTTTATACTTCGACCTCTGACGTGGTTCTTTGAGTGTCCCCAAACCTTATGCCTTTATGCCTCTTCCTAGCATCAGAGCTGATGTTTTGCTTGATCAGCCTCTACTCCTGGCAGTATCATGCCATCACTGACCTCAGTTTCCCCCTAAGTTCTTCCTGGTACCAGATCCAGCTTCCTGTTTTAATAATTTTGTGAAAGTAAATAAATTCCTCAATACTACTTTCTCATGAGATTTTTAATGCCTTACAAGTATTTTCTAGAATGAGCTATCCTTATATTGTATTCTAGAACTATTATAGAGAACTTATATTCTCTAGAACTATTGTAGACACCTATCCTTAGCCCTTTGAGATCCATGTCACAGAGTGATACCTCTCAAATTTCACATGCACATGAGTCACTTGGGGATCTTGTTAAAATGCACATTCTGATACAGCAGGTCTGGAGTGGGGCCCAAAATTCTGCATTTCTAACAAGCTCCCAGGGGATGCCCGTGCTGCTAGTCTGTGGACCACAGTTGGAGAACAAGATTCTAGACTTTGCTCTGCCCCAAAACTCTACCTGCAGCATATTTTAAAATGCCAGTGAGACTGAAGGAGGCAGAAGGGATTTAAAAAGCTTTAGCTAGGTTCTCTAGAAGTACATGTGTGGTACAGTTACTACTAATACAGCTGTTTATGTTCAGTTATAATGAAATACGTGATTTTTGTGTTAAAACACTTAAATTCACTCACTCGTTTCCTTGGAGCCCTTCCCTAGAGATTCAGCCTCCATTCAGAGGAAGCCCTACCCACTTCTCTGAGGCTGGGGGCCCTCACTAAAGAGGGAGTTGGCTTCTGCTGCCACCTTTGTATTTTCCTGACATGACCAAATTGCTGCAAGCATGGTGGCCAGGGGAGGCTGTTGGATGCTGAGGAAAGGAAACCCCAACTAAAGAAGGCTCTGCCTGGTTTTCATTCCAGTGCCCCCTGGGCTCTGCCATGCTGATCCCTTCCCTCTTTGGGTAGATGGTCTCCCTGGGACACCCAGCCCCCTTACTGACTCTCGCCTTCTCTCTCTCTCTCTCTCCCCTTCTCTCTCCCTCTCTCTCTCTCTCTCCCTCCCGGGTCTACAGGCTGCTCTGGAAATGCTGCTGCTGCGGAAGCCAGTCAGGTTAAAATACCATCCTTTAGCAAATTACCACTATGCCGGTAGGTTCCTATTGCTTCCTGAGAGTGGGCCATTTGCATGTTTAGTTGTTAAGTTGTAATAGTAGATAGCATTGGTTCTGTCCTCATCTCCACTCAAGATCACAAGGCCTTATGGAGTGGAGCTGGTGGGGGCATGCATCTGCATGAGCTACCAACCCTGGGGGTTGACTGAGAGCTGAGCGAGGATGCGTGGTACCTGATGAGCCAGGGAAAGAGCCACAGAGCGTGCAGTGCTGAGCCCGTGACTCTCAGCAGCCCCTGGCTTTGGAATCAGCCAGATGTCGGCTCAGGCCTTGACTTCACCCCCTGGTCAAGTCCCTTGACCTTCTGCAGCCTTTGTTTCCTCACCTGTAAAGTGGGGCTCATATCCATCCTTTGCAGCATCATGTGAAGATTAGAGTCAGTACATGTAGATGATGCTGGGCACATCCTGTTAGCTGTTATTATTAATTTATTAGATAATTGTCAAGAATTTACCAAGTACAAGGGTCTGTGCTAGGCACTAAGATAAAAAATGACTGTGACATAGTCCTACTTGATGCAGTGTAGAGTCTCAGGAGAAGATGAACAGTGGGTTACACTAGTGGCAGGAGAAAGAACTTGCATATATAGGGTCTTCTGAATGTATGGATTAACAATAGCACCACCCCTAAAAGGGAAGGAGAAAACACTTTAAGATTGGAATGGAGTGAGAATCACAAAGAAAAGGAAACAGCTTGGGGAGCCTATGAAGTAACAAAACTAAGGTCAATATCCATTGAATCTAGCAAGCTCCCCTGATTCTCTATTGCAGAGGAGCCTGAATCCTTTAATGCCTCTAATTTTAAAATCATTTCAGGTCAGTGCCTAGGAAGGAACTCTGGTAGTAGGGTGGTTAAGAGCTCAACTGCAAATCGAAAGATTGGCAGTTTGAAGCCCCCAGCTGCTCTGTGGAAGAAAGGTGTGGCAGTCTGCTTCCCTAAAGATTACAGCCTTGGAAACCCTATAGTGCAGTTCTACTCTGTCCTGTAGGATCGCTATCATTTGGAATCAACTTGATGACAGTGGGTTTGTTTTTTGTTTTGTTTGTTTTTTTGGTGCCTGGCTTAGGGAGTTAGAGGTACCTTCTCCAGGCAGCCAGATGTGACATAAAGTGAAGACTTCTCAGCAGATGCCAGAGTGTTCTCAGTGGGCTCCCTTCCCCACCATGCTTTGCCTCACTCAGTGTCCTTCTCTCTCACGAGTCAGCCTTCCTGCCTGTCATCACCTCTCTCACGAGAAGGAAAGGCCTCTGAAACCACTCTTACAAGCACAGCAAGCCTAGGGAGTCTGCCTGTGGATCACTCTCAGCACACACAGTGACTGGTACTAGGCAGGCCCAAAATGGACATGTGGGATAAGAAAGCCACCATTTAACCAATTAACATAATCTTGATCATTTCCTTCTTGTTGTCTGCCCCTAATGTGGGCAGAAAGATGTGGGAGTTCTCCATCATCTGCCATGGAAACAATCCAACCCTCTCTGAATTCCCAGCATAATCTGTTTCCCATTAAACCCTGACAAGCTGTCCACCCTCTTGGAGCCTGTCCCAAGCTTCTTTCCATAATGGGTGAGGCAGTTGGTTGACCAGAAGGGGCTTCCCAAATTTGTGCTGGGAGATGCTGATGCCCTTAGTTCTTGGGGTACCTGGGAGTGGCCAGAGCCTATGGGCTGCTTAATACCAGCTGGGAACAAACTTATCTGGGACCCAAATCCCCTGCAGTTCTTTCTAATATGCCAAACAGGCATTATTATTTTTTTACGTATCTCATGACACAAAATAGATTGGAAAACTGTGGGCGAGAAATCCCCTCCGTAACCCCCAAATGAAACAAAACTGAGCAAAAAATACCAAAATAATACTAAGCACTTTGAAACTGGAGGGCTCTAAATTCTGCTAAGATTAAGTCATTTGGGGGGTGCTGAGGAGCCCTGGTGGTGCAGTGGTTGTGCTTATCGGCTCACCAAAAGGTCAGCGGTCCAAACCCACCAGCCGCTGTGTGGGTAAAAGATGTAACAATCTGCTTCTGTAAGATTACAGCCTTGGAAAGCCTATGGGGCAGTTCTATTCTGTCCTTATTAGGGTTGCTATAAGTCGGAATCAATTTGACAACAAGTTTTCTTGTTGTTGTTTTGGGGTGTCTAGCTAATCCCTCATCCACCACCTGACCCTTCCCTCAGAGACAGACCAGGAAGGGCTCCGTTGCTTTATGGAATCATTTTGACCCTTTGAGGCAAGAACAGAGGAGGTATGGTCTGGAGGGTTGGTGTCCTACTAGCTGTGTATCCTCTAGAAAGGGATGCTCATCTGTGTCAACCAGCCCCTACTTTCTCCATTATGTGCACAGAGTAAGTCCAAGAGAATCTTCTAGAGTTAGAGCAAAAGAGCTTGTTTTGCTCCAAGGTGCCCTCTCTGAGGTCACTGGTCTCAAAATCTTTACCTGACTCTATTCCCTGAATGGGAGCTCTGGTAGCATAGTGGCTAAGGCACTTGACTGCCAACCAGAGGGCTGGCGGTTCAAACCCACCAGCCACTCCTCGGAAGGAAGGTTGGGCAATCCTACTTCCGTAGTGATACTGCCTCAGAAACCCAAGGTCAGTTTCTGAGGGATGAGTCAGGGATGACTCGATGGCACATAACAACAACAACAACAATTCCCTGAATAGTGCCCTTCCAAGCACAGAACTCACCCCCTTCACCTTTCTCCAGCTACCAGCCACTACCTCCTTCCCACACTTCTGACTTTCCTTACTTGGTTCCTGGATAGCTTTGAATCCTGTCTCTGTTGTCCCATCCTGATTTGGCCTTTGTATCAAGCCCTTTGGATTGCTCCTCAGTAGGTCTGTCTGTCCAGCTCAATTCCATCCTCATCAAGACACTTTGGTCTTCGGGATCTCTTCTGGTTCCCAACTCTGTGACTGTGGCCAGGGTCAGCCCACCTAGCTCTCAGCCCTAGAATTGCACTCCCAGCTCCAAGTTGTCTAGAGATAGACCTACTAGGCCTGTCTGTGGGAAGGCAGCAAGACTGGGTTACAGGGAAGGCTGCCAGTTTGGAGAAAAAGAGACACAGGCCTGTGAAAATCACTCATTCCCTTCCCTGCCTTACCTCCTCCCAAGTTGTGATTCGAGGATTGTGATTAGAGGGGTGGCAGCATCCTTGCTCTTTTCTGTTGAACTGGTCATTCCTACAGAAGGATGCAGAGCAGAGTGGGTGTCAGAAGTGGCCCTGGGCTTCTCAGCAAAGGTTCCACACAGGCTTTCCTTGGTCCCCACCACTCCCCACCACTGTCTGAGCTCTTACTGAGTCCTGGAGCCTGACCTGAGCTCTGTAGATGGGAAAACCTGGGAGATACCCATTCAACTGGGGAGGTCTAGTCTCTGCCGCTAGGAGTCCTGGTAGTACAGCAGTTAAAGGCTCGGCTACTAAATGAAAGGTTGGCGGTTCAGACCCACTCAGCTGCTCCATGGGAGAAAGACCTGGCCATCTCCCATTTGCAACCCAGAAAACCAAATGGACAGTTCTGCTCTATCCTGTGGGGTTGCTGTGAGTCAGGATAGATGTGAGGGCACCCAACAACAACAGTCTGTGCCCTGGAAGCTGCACCAGTTTGATGAAGGAGACAGAATTACATACTCAAGAGCATACTTTTCAAGAAACATAAATGTAATTTAATTTGCCCATGTCCCTAGCTGGATTGTGCTTAAGAGCAGTACTGCTTAAGGGCAGTATTAACTGAGTTAATACTCTCTGCCCTTTGCCTGGCCTGACAAAGCACTTGAAAGGAAAAGCCATAGTGAACAAGCTTGAGTTTTGGGTTCAGATCCAGGCTTCCCTTTCTTTTTTGCCCCCCGGAGGGAACTTTGGTAACACCCCGTTTCACTCAGCATGCTTGAAAAGATTATTCAGCGTTCGCCCATTATGGGAAACCCTACTCAGAAATAAAGGTCTAATATTAAAACAGCTCTCCTTTTCTTACAATAAACCTGTCTTCCTTCTGTAACTGTAAAAATAGCCATATTGATAAAAGTTTTAAAATTCTTAAAAGGAGAAGCAAAGGGCCCTGTTAAAAACATACTGTGGCCAAACTTCCTCTCACCTCTCGGTGTCTCTCTTTAATTGCCTGGGTTCACTGTAGATGGCCCCAGAATTAGCCACAGTCCAGAGTCTGTTTCCCAGCAACCAAAGCTGAGAACATTTTTCCTCTTGATACTGTTCAACACCAGTTACATCCAGTTAATTAGGCTCTTTGTAATTAGCCTTAATCATCTTGTTAGGGGGCCCCTGCTGATAATAACCCAACAGCCGGGAATCCCCAGGTAGAACAAATGGCTCCTGGGGAGATGTCAGCAGACCAGCCCTCTCTGTGTGCTAAGTGGGCAGCGGGAAGCTTCAAGAGAAAGGGAGGCATTGCAAGGGTGGAAGGAAAGGGGAGTGTTTGAGGCAGCCCCTGCCTCGGTTTTGTATTTTACTCTGGACTTTGTCCAAGACACGGAATCTAGGAAAGGCTGGCTTAGAACCTTGTCTAAGAATGAGGAAAGTACCCCTCTCAGCGACTCCAGGACACCTGATCCTTTCCTTGATTTTGGATTACAGAGGGGTTTTGGGGGGCATTAGAGTTAGGAGCAGTCAGGAGTAAGGCTGTGGGGTTAGAAATCCACAGAACAAGGAACGCTGGCAGCAATAGTCATCTTCATGACTGCCGTTCACACAGACATCAGCAGAGACCACTGGATGACCCATATCTGTGGGCTGATTTGGAACCTGCTCATTGAGTTGCCAACAAAGATCTAAAACATGTATTGAGCACCTACTTAGGACCAGACCCTTTGAGTCACAGGGGTGAATGTCATGATCCCCATGTCACAGATGAGGAAACTGAGACTCAGTGAAGTTAAGTACACTTGCCTAGACTCACAGGAGTTAGTGGCAGAACCAGGTTTGCAGCCTAAGGTGTCTTGACTAAATTCACCCTTTTCTCACAGCACAGTTACCTTATTCATAAAACTTGCTATCAAGTCAATTCTGACTCATAGCGACCCCATTGGGTTTCCAGGGCAATAAATTTTTATGGAAGTCAATTGCCCCATCTTTCTGTGGAGCAGTCAGTGGGTTTGAACCATCAACTTTCTGGTTAGCAGGCAGATGCCTTAGGCACTGTGCCACCAGAGCTCCTTATTCATAGGCGAGCATATTCAGGTATTGTTTCTATAAAGCAGTCCTTGACCTGGGAATTTAGTCAGAGAACCCTGGGGAGGAGTTTCAGCTCCAGGAAGCAATCTTGAGATCAGGATGCAGTGAAGATGGAGCTGCTCTAAAGCGTGAGTATGAGAATGGATTTGCTTGTCCAACCCAGCCTCTGCCTGTTTGGGTATACACACAGCGATACCATCTGCACTATAGCATGGATGCTAGGAGCATGGAGAGGAGCCATCATCTCTTGCTCTGTAAGAACATGCTCCCGCCCCCTAGCCCCTGCAGCCCTCAGAGAGAGAAGATGTGTAGCCCCTCCCAGTCCAGGACTGATGTGTGGGATAAACACTTTGGGATCCAGAAGACTGAAGACCACCGTTGTTCCCTATCACAGAACAACAGCCCTGACAACCACCACGAGGAGTCAGCAAGGGAAGGTCTCCTTCCCCCATGAGGCTTGGGATTCCCCTATAACAGATGGCCCAGGAAGTTACTTCACATTCTATGGAGTTGCAGCTGATAAGCCATTTGAGGACATGCCTCTCAGAAGCAGGCAGACCTGGGAGCCTAAAACTGCCCCTTGGGCCAGAAATCAGATAGCCTAGCATGAGGTGGAAGAAAGCATGTCCTCCATTGAGATGGTGCTGAGAAAATGAATGGCTTGCTTAGTGCCTCACCAGGTCTTAGGACTGCATTCTAACTCCAGAACCCTGTGGGCTAACTGAGGTTGAAAAAGATTCTTTAGTTGGGTATTTTTATCAGCAAAATGTCTCCTGGTTGTTGCCTATCTGAGATGCAGCCCAGGGCTGCATAGACACTGAACTTGTACTTCAGCTTCTTATAAACTGGTGCAGGGACTCATCTAGTGTGATATGTCAACATCATCACCTTCCATTGTTATCTTTCTGGTTCCTCTTATCTGTTAGCTACTTTGATGGATATCTAAAAGGAACCATAACTGTTTGGTAATTCAACTAAATTGTTGGTTAATCTTGTCTGTCTGCTAGTAGTGCCTTTTCTCCTGGGTAAGGGGAGCTTATAGGAGCTGAAACCCCAAAGCCTTGAATGTTGGTCAGAATTTGTGAAGTGGTAATGGGACAGCTAAAGAGCCCCAAATCCCACCCACCTCCTCTCCTCAAGTCCATTCCATCAAAGCTTCTCTAAACACCATCTGCAAACACCAAACAGCATCTCTTCCTCTCTAGTTTTCTCATCCAGAGATGTCCAGGCCTCCAGGCCTATGGAAGATGCTTTCTTCAGCTGGGAATTTATTGGAAAGCTGTGTTCCTTCTAGAAGTAAAGAGATACACTTGCAAACCAAAGAAGTATAGTGGTGTGGCCTTGCCTTTTTAGACGTCTGAACCAGCCTAGCTATGCAGAGCATATTCTGAGTCTGGAGCATATTGTAACTTCTGTGAGTCTAGGCCTGAGCACTAGGCTTGAGGACCCATCAGAGTCACAAAGACTCTTATTTCAGAATTCTGAACTTACACCACTGAGTCACATATTGTCCCAAGGAACCTAGGATCTCAACATATAGTCCAGAGGGATTCACCAAATTGTCATTTTGGCCAAACCTGCAAGGGAAGAGGAGATTCAGCTTTCCTATACTTCACCCCATCAGCCAGCCAACCATAGCAAAGTAGAGACCTTGGACTTGGCATGGACAGGAGGAAAAATGCCATGGCTTTGGGGATGACAGCTTTGAGAAGCAGAGGAATGCCAAAGGCCCAGCAAGCTACCACCCAAAGGCTCAGAGATGTGGAGAATTCGGAGAGCCAGGAGACTGGACTGAGTTTTCAGTGAACCAGCCATGGTGACTGAACCTTTCCTGGAGCCCTCAGAACTGTGGACAATGTAGCTCCTTAGAAATAGACCTCATTAGAACAGTCAACCGAATGAGATCAAAAGGGCAGCATTTGCCCAGGGATAAAGCTTAGAAGGCAGGAAAGGAGAAGAAAGAAGGACAAATGAAAACAGTAAACACAGGGAGGAAGTGGGGAGTACTGGTATGCTGTGGAGATTGCAATCAGTGTCACAAAACAAAATGTTGCGAGTTGTTGAGTGGAAAACCAGTCTGCTCTGTAGACTTTCACCCAAATTAAAATAAAAAGTTTAAAAAATTAAGCAAGCAAAGATGGGAGAGGAGAGACCTCAAGCCACATGAAGATTACCCCAGGAGCAGAAGCTCAAAAGAGACAAGGACCTTCCTCCAGAGGTGACAAAGAGAGAAAGCCTTTCCCTACAGCCAACACCCTGAATTCAGATGTCTAGCCTAACTGTGAAAAAATAAATTTCTGCTTGTTAAAGCCAAAAAAAAGAGAAAAGAAATAGACCTTATTTCTTACCCAAAACAGCCCAGGACCATTCTGTATGATTATCTGCATATCCTGCTTTCTCTTTTATTGAAGAGAAAAACATGACTATCAAATTTAGCCAGCCAAGCAGACACCAGCCAGTACTGCCGCTCCTCCATCAGTCTGCAAATCTGTCAAGAACTGGCCCCATCACCCCTCCAACTTCATCTGTGCTTCCTCTATTGGAACCCTATACTTGAACCACATTGGATTACTGCTCATTCTTTTTAGCACCTCCATTTCCCCATTTGTAAAATGGGATAATAGTAATACCAGTCTTACAGGGGTGTTGGTAGAACTAAACAGTTAGTATGTATAAAGTACTTAGAACAAGGCACATACTAAGCACTTAAAACATTATTAGTCTTATTTTTTCCCTAGGACAGTGTCCTGCTAGAAAATGAATGAATAAGTGCATCATCTCACTTTTACCTCTGACTTAACATCTCTGTGTCCTTTAAAACTCAACTCTCATGCTTTCTCTACTAGGTAGTTTCCTTGGCTACCTTGGTCCTATATGTTCCTCCTCTGTGCCTCATTGGTCCCTCACCTTTACTTTATCATAGCGTCATCACCTTGGACATGAGGCCTACTGGCTTGTCTCCCCTATAGACTGTGGGCATCTAAAGGGTGATGTTAAACAGTGCTTGTTACATGTGGGCACTCGTGAATGTAATAATTACATAAAAATTGTAGCTAAAGTTTGTTGAGTTCTATTTCCTAGTTACTAAGCTAGGCACTTTACATGCATTATCTTCTCTAACTTTCACAACAGTCCTGTGAGGTGGGGATAATTAGAGCCAGCCCTCCATATCCACAGGTTTCCCATACGGATTCAATCAACCACAAATTGAAAATATTTTGGGGAAAAAGTAATTATCTAACCAAAGCAATCTCTCAAAGGCCATGAAGGAGTATAAAGTACTATTTACATGGCATTTACACTCCATTAGGTATTATCAGTAATTGAGATGATTTAAAATGTACAGGAAGATGTGTGTAGGTTACATTCAAATATTGTGCCATTTTATATAAGGGACTAGAGTATGTATGGATTTTGGTATCTGCTGGAACCAACCCCTTGTGTATACTAAAGGATGATTGGATAATTATTCCCATTTGCAGGTAACAAAACTGAGTCTTAGGTTAAAAAGTCATAGTAGCTGGGATTTGAACCCCAGTGCTCAGGGATGCTAACTATGACACTATACTGGCTCTTTGTTACACCAGGAATTTGGTATATATTATATCACTTGCTAAACACTTGTATTTTGTAACCTAAGTGAACCACAAAAATGGGGAGAACTATGGGCTATTCTCACAGAGTCTGTGTTTCGTTGTAGGTTCGGACAAGTGGACTTCTCTAGAAAGAAAATTGTTTAATAAAGCACTAGCCACTTACAGCAAAGACTTTATTTTTATACAAAAGATGGTAAGCCTGCTTTTCTCATTGCTTGCTTGAAATTAAATTTGGGAAATTGTCGATTTTTAGAATGCAGGATATATATTTAGAAATATTTAGACAAAGCTGCTTACCAAGTTACTGCTCTTATACTAAAAAGCCCTCTTATACTAAAAAGTCTTCTAGCCCTTGCTGATATAGGGTGATAGTTGTTTTAGGGGTGGCATGACCCCAGTGTAGATTATGAGGGAGAGAGAAGGATGGAAAGACAGACATAATTACTTGGACATAGCAGTGGTGGGGAGTTTATTTACTTTCTTAATGAAAAATGTGTAATTTATACATTCTCTCAGAATAAATAGAATTGGGGCTTTGTGTTACCATTTGCATGGTTTATTTTGTGGGTATCCTACAGATATTTCATATTTCTGACAAGTAGAAATTTTTTTCTAGGACACTGGGGAGGGGAGGACACATCCTCCCCCCATTCCAGTAGCAGAACTTCTGGTATTGGTACCTAATGTTAATGACAGTAAGAGTAATAACACCTCACTTTTAGAGCAAAGCAAAGACTTCACACACATGAAATAACATTTTATATAGCTGGTAATAAACTTAATAGAACTTAATTGGCTGAGAGGTAGTTTAGGCCAAAAAGTTAAAATGATTCAAAGAGTGTTTCAACAAGCCAGTGAATGATGGAACCAAATTGTATTATTAAAGGTCATTAAGGATGTTCAGGCACAAATGGCATGGGCCACAGCTGACAGCTCACTGGCTCCAGCCTCAGGGCTACCCTAGGGTGGCATGTCATCTGTTCTTAATCAAGGGCTTGCCCAATTGGGAATCAGGCAGTCAGGCAGTCATTGTCTTTGCCTGGCCTCTGTCTGATAATTGCATTCTCTCACCTTTCCCTGCCTTTGTGGCCAGCATGTCCTGCTGCCCCCTATGCCCAGCAGCTCTGTGCGCTGATCTTTCTTGGGTCAGGTACCCCTGGGGCTGACCTCACGCCTCTGACTTGAAGGCCACATATCTCTTTGACTGATGATGGATTCATGTGTTATACTTCCCAGGAAACACAGGTTTTTAAACCAGGGCTCTATGGGATGGTATCCTTGTTCTCTAGGACGATTGATTCTACTATAGAAATTCCAGATGCCAAGTGGATGTGACATGGGCAACATAGAGCAGACAGGACTTCTGGGGGTGCCCTTCTATCTCACCAGATAGGTGACTGTTCCCTCCTCCAAACCCCAAGGGAAAGGCTAGTCTTATATCTTCACTCCGAAAACCCACATTATTGAACCTCCTCCTTGAGCTTTGGGGTCCATCAGCTAAACAAAGGAATTTTTCCTCTTTAAAATACATACACCTTTTCCTTTTTGGGAGTGAACAAAGCAAAGCTTGTTCCCTGTGAAAACTAAACTCTTACCATCATAACTTTTTCTTTATATTCCTGTTGGATTACTAAGGAACATTTTTCATAAAATGATGTGGAAGGTAACAAATTGGAGAGCTAACACATTCAAGTACATTAAATGAAAAAAAAAAAACAAAACATGCTGTTTTATGGATTAACAAAACGAGTAAGCTCATAGGAAAATCTCTTAAGATAATGTTGTCGTTCGATGCCATCGAGATGGTTCCGACTCGAGTGACCCATGTACAACAGAACGAAACACTGCCCCCGGTCCTGTGTCTTCCTCACAGTTATTCCTATTTTTGAGCCTATTGCTGTAGCCACTGTATCAGTCCATATCATTGAGTGTCTTCCTCTCTTTGCTGACCCTCACTTTACCAAGCATGATGTCTTTCTACAATCAAATTGCAAAGCAATATATATAGTGTGCTACCTTTGGTTAAGAAGGATGGTGGGGGAGGAATAGATTCTTGTGTTTGTTGCATTTGCATAAAGAAATTCTGGAATGATGCCCACACGATTAATGATGAGCTCTCTGCCTTGCAAGATGGGGATGAAGAACTGGGTGGATGAATAACGGGTGGGAAGGAGACTTTCTACTGTACACATTTTTTAGTGAACTGCATAAATGTATTACCTATTGCAAAGTTAAACTGTCAAGAAAGCTTGCTGCCCTGCACACTGCCCATGGCTGGAGCTAATCTTGAGCTCACTTTCCTGGCAGGTGAAGTCTAAGACAGTGGCTCAGTGCGTGGAGTACTACTACACTTGGAAAAAAATAATGCGGTTAGGGCGGAAACATCGGACACGCCTCACGGAGATCATAGACGATTGTGTGGTGAGTGAAGCAACTGAGTCATTGCTTATGCTGACCCACGCCCACCCCACACCAGAGTTAGTAAGTGGCTGGCGTTGGGTTTGGTGTTGCCACTGAGCTGGCCGTGTGAGTGGGTGACAGAGGCCCAGCTGGATTCAGGACTTGACCTTCCTAGTATAGGCAGAGGAAGGAGTTTTCAGGGGTGGACCTATGTTCAGTGTTTGGTTTAGGAGATAATGGCTGGCTTGAGTTTGAAGACAGGCAGAAGTCAAGACAGGTAAGCCAGGATGGTCCCGGCGTTGGCTGGTTGGTTTATAAATGGTACACTGATACCCCGGGGATCCTTAAGGGTCATTAAATATGTTTAGGTACATAGGGACACTCAATTAACATTTGTTAAATGAATGAATGAATGAATGAACATTTTCCCAAGATAGGAATAACACCAGTTCATAGCAACAGTCCCTTTATGAACCCACTAGAGAGAGATGGGGCAAAAAAGGGATGCTGAGCAGAGGAGTGCTGTTAAAGAAGGCATTGCCATGCCTCCCTGATCCTTTCATGTCACGATGCTACTGGCCCAAAGAACAGACTATGCCTCAGAAAGAGGAATGAGTCCTTGAATTTTATCCCAGTTTCTGCACAGCACCAAGTAAGGAAGAGCTTTGACCCTTCCATACTGCCAGGAACTCTCAATTACTGAGGTCTGATTGTCAGTGTGTAGATTTTTCTAATTCTTACATTACCTTTATCCTCTATTGAGTCCCCCCATTAGTAGACAATCAAAAGTTACCTGCATATGAAGATTAACTGCAAACTAAAGACATAACAAGACCCAGATATTTTCCAAACCCCGCATGTGTTATTTTGGGTAATTACTGTCACTTTTCATCCTCAAAGTTGACTCTTCTCTGCATCCACAGCCAGGGGAGGTCTCCTTGTCACACTTTGTAGAAAACATTGCTTGCCATGTATGTGTATGTAAAAATTATGCATCTTTCAACAGTTTTTTAGGCTCCAGCCTAAAAAAGCTTGCTGCTCTGCACACCCTATCACTATCAGGGAAAGTGCTTGGAACTCATGAATGGTATGAACAGTCTTAATCACACTTTCATTCCCAATCGTGCCCCACTTATAAATATCAACACATATGTGGGTTATTTTATTTAACCAGCACTTACATCATACTTTCTATGTGTGAGGCATTGTTCTAGGTACTTTACGTATACTCACTCATTTCATCCTCATACCGATTCTTCTGAGACACAAAGCTTAATTACCTTGCCCATGGTCACACAGCTGATTGAGTGTGTTGTCTGAACCTGATTCCCTTGTGTGATATTTAAGGGCATTCAAATGTAAATTCACTTAAAGAACTGTAAAACCACTTGGGTTCATTAATGCTTCAAAGCCCAAGCTCTTAATTAAGAATTGATCCTGGCTAGGGAGCTCTGGTAGTGTAATGCCTAAGGTACTTGACTGCTAACCAGAAGGCTGGCGGTTCAAACCCACCAGCCACTCCTCGGAAGGAAGATGGGGCAATCTACTTCCGTGGTGATACTGCCTCAGAAACTCAAGGAGGGGTCGCTATGAGTCGGGTCCGACTCGACAGCACATAACAACAACACAACAATAGGAAATACATAAGGAGCTCTGGTGGTACAGTGGTTAAAGCATTCAACTGCTAACAAGAAGGCTGGACGTTCAAAACCACCAGCTACTCCACAGGAGAAAGATGAGGCAGTCTGCTTCCATGAGGGTTTACAACATTGGAAACCATATGAGGCACTTCTCCTCTGTCTTATAGAGTTGCTATGAGTCAGAATCAACTCGATGGCAGTAGGTTTGGGGTCTGGTACATACAGGAAGTACCTTATACCTGGAAACAGATCAGAGAAAATAGACAATTGTGCAGTGGAATGATGTTGCTATTCTTTTAATCAAAGGTGACAGACAGTATTCTGTATTTAGGGTTTCCTGTAACCAGAACGTTTGCTGGGCTGGTTTATAACAGTGATATCTTGCATTCAAATAACCTTTTCTCATCTGTGGCCTAATGTGGGGAAAAAAAAAACAAAAAAAAACAGTATGATCTCTGATTCACTCAACTAAAAGCATCTGAAGGGGTAAACAGCACCATGCATGTGGGTGCTGTGAGTGACCTGGGTGAGTGACTTAATAAATGGCCTCTGGCCCTGGAGCATGTGTGCGCAAAGATGTGACACACACAAGTGAAAAGTTTACCACGAACCTCAAAGTGGTTACAGTGTGTAGGAGATGAGAACCAGAAAGTCTGAAAGTTAAAGAGGACCTCAGGAACTCTCTCATCCAACTCCACCATTTGGTAGACAGGAAGTTGAGGTCCAGAGATGGGAAGGGACTTGCCCAAGGTCACAAAGAGCATTGCTTTCCAAATGAATAGTATGGGCAGCAAAAAGAGGAAGCACCAAAAATCCTGGCTTTGGAGACCTGGGTCCTGGCTCCAAGGCCCATCTTAGGCCAGTCACTGCCCCATTCTGAGTCTCAGCTTCCTTACTTGTAAGATGGAACAGATAATTTGGAGCCTGGTGCCATCAAGTCAGTTCCAACTCACAGCAACCTTTTAAGACAAAGTAGAACTGCCCCACAAGGTATGCAAGATTGTAAATCTTTACAGAGGTGGACTGCCACATCTTTCTTCCCGGGATCAGCTGGTGGGTTCCAATCACTGACCTTTCAGTTAGTTGCCAAGTGCTTACCTACTGTGCCACCAGGGGTCCTCTGATGATTTGGAAAGTACCTTCCAATTCTAGAATATTCTTGGCTCTGTCAGTGATATGTTTTGGGTGAAGGCAAAATCAGAGGATATAGCCTCCTAAGGCAAATTGATGTCTCTTTAGGTTTGGGTGTTACCAAGTACCTAGGACAGTGCCTGACATAATATAGACACTCGTGATATGAGTCACTCTGGTTCATAGCAACAGTCCCTCCATGAACCCATCGAGAGAGAAGTGGTAAAAGGAGGATGTTGAGCAGAAGAGTGCTGTTGAAGAAGACTTTACCACACTAAGAAGAGGCTCCATCTTGGGCTTGTTCACCAGGAGCTAGCACTGGGCTAGGTCGGGAATACTCACACTCTTGTGACCTGTGAGCTTAGGGAGACCAAAAGCCTATGTGCAGAGATGATTCAGGCCCACAAAACAAGGAAATCTTGATTTCAGGTCAGCATAGGTCCCTTTTGAGCACTGTGTACATAGTCAGCCTTCTGAAGATCACCTTCCAAGTAGAAATGAAAAGTTGGAATCATGCAAGGACTGGTGGAGGGTGCAGAAGGTGTAGCCCTAAGACTACAGGCTTTTCATTGTCTGGGCCTGCCTGGGATGACTGGGATGGCTTTCCTGATCATGTGTACTCAATGGTTTATTAAAGGGACAAGTGATCATTTCCTCCCAGCAGTGGAGTGTGCTCAGGTAGCTCAGGTTTGTTAAAGACCTAAAGGGCAGAGGGGAAAAAGAACATTTGGGAGGAGTAACTGTTCTTTGAATAGTTAACAGATCAGCAAGACAGTTGTTCACTCAGCAGAAGTGGTTTGACTTTTGACCTGAGGTCATCACAGGCCCTTCTACCGCTGGAGACAGAAGGTTAGTCCTCTTGAGGAGGTGGGAGGAAAGTGTGCTGGCCACACCCTCCTGTCTCCTGCTCCCCAACTCAAGGCAAAAATCTATGGCCTCATTGTGACCAAAATTCAGTACAGTTTAAGAAACAAAGTGATCAGTACTGCCCAAAGTGATCTAGAGATACAATGCAGCCCCAATCCAGACTCAACCAACATTCTTTAAAGAGATGGAAAAGCCAATCACTAACTTTATTTAGGAAGAAAAGAGAGCCCAGATAAGCAAAGCACTGCTGAAGAAGATGAACAAACTAGAAGACCTCACACTTCCCAATCTCAGAACCTACTATACAGCCATGGTAGTCAAAAAAAGCCTGGCATTGGTACAACAGACACATAGACCAATGGAAAAAAATTGAGAACCCAAAGTAAATCCATCCATCTATGGACAACTGATCTTTGATAAAGGGCTAAAATCCATTGAATTGGGGAAGAGATAGTCTTTTTAACAAATGGTGCTACAAAACTGAATATCTATTTGCAGAAAAATGAAACAGAATCTATGCCTCACACCAACTCAAGATGCGTCAAAGACCTAAATAATTTTAAAAATCATGAAAGAAAAAATACGGGCAAACTTAGGAACCCTAATTTATGGCATAAATAGTTTATCAAGTATGACTAAAAATTCACAAACAGGAAAAAAAAAAAAAAACAACACTAGAGAACTGGGACTTCCTGAAAATTGAACACTTACACACATTAAAAGACTTCTCCAAAAGAGTAAAAAGAGAACCTGTTGTTGTTAGGTACCGTTGAGCCAGCTCCGACTCATAGTGATCCTTTGTACAGCAGAACAAAACACTGCCTGGTCCTGTGCCAGCCTTACAATCCTTGCTATACCCAAGCCCATCATTGCAGCCACTGTATTAGTCCCTAATTATTATTGAGGGCCTTCCCCTTTATCGTTGACCCTCCACTTTACCAAGCATGGTATCCTTCTCCAAGGAATGGTCCCTTCTGATAACATGACCAAAGTAGGTCAAACAAAGTCTGGTCATTCTCGCTTCCAAGGGACATTTTGGCTCCACTTCTTCCAGGATAGATTTGTTAGTTCTCCTGGCAGTCTGTGGTACTTTCAGTATTCTTCACCAACACCACAATTCAAAAGCATCAACTCTTCTTCAGTCTTCCTTATTCATTGTCCAGCTCTCACATGCATATGAGGCAATTGAAAATACCATGGCTTGGGTTAGGCTCACTGTGATAGTTGGAGTTGTGTGTCAACTTGGCTGGACCACAATTCTTAGTGGTTTAAGTAATTGTGATGTGGGTTATTCCCATGATGAGATCAGATGTATATGTTTTTTTTTTTTTTTTTTTTTTT